CCAAAAATAAAAACTGGGAACTCGGGGATCACAATAATTCCAAGAATTCATACTATTCGAAAAAGACTGAATACTTTTTTTTTCTCGCTTGCTCTACTGTATATTTTTAAAAGAAAATAATATGCTCCACCTGTAGACCTAGAATTTGTGTCACTCCTTCATGAATTACATTTTGTTACAAACTGCTCAAAACACCCTAAGGATCTGCTGGGGGTGAGAGTCGGTGTCATCCTGTAAATCTCAGAAATGTCTCCCACACTTCTCCAGCCGCGCTCCACTTGTGGGTGTATGTGTGGCTGACTCAGCAGACTTCTCCTGTGTACAGCTGCACTGTAGCTGTGCCCACTGAGTGTGTTTATGTAAGCTATCCCTGTTTGGCGCTAGGCTCACGTGGGTGCACTTTCCCTCTCTTGAACATTTGACATCATACATAATGTATGTCCCTTTACTCTTTCAGGTCAAGGAGGGAGCCAGGTAAAGATGAAGTTCTGCTGCGCACACGACACAAAATAAGTTAGACGGCAAACAAAATGACATAAAACAAAAATAAAGTCCCTAAACTTTCAAATAGCTGCAGCCAAGTATAGCATTCATGCGCTGTTTTGTCTGTTGGAGTACATTTAATGTGATTTGTTGAGATGGTTTAAGACGAGTGGTGCTTTTGGCCCTGAGGCAATGTCTCTGTCATTGGTGTGGAACCTCAGGATTCACCACCTGGGCAAGATTGAATTCTGGTTAGGGCGGTTGGTACCTTCCAGTGGATTGGAAGTTTCAGGGGGGTTGGTACGGTGCAATGTGATTTGAGTGGCGGTCGCGCAGACTGCTGCCCCCACGACCCAGTAACGGATAAGCGGATGAAAATGAATGAATGGATGGGTTTAAGATGAATATTTTTTCATGCTGTATCTGATTTGGTGTTTGTTTTTAGGGATGTCCGATAATATCAGCCGAGCGACATTATCGGCCATCCGTTCCTCCGATAATGAAAACCTGATAACACAATGCCTGGATTTCGCCAAATGATGTGTGCCCTAAAAATAGTTTTGGGGAAAAACAGCTGTATGTATAAGTGGCGATAATGAAAACCTGATTACACAATGCCTGGAATTGCAGCTCATTTTATTAATCGATTTTAATAATCGGGGGATTGTATGCAGAATGCTGGTGTCAGTAACTTCTGGAGTGGTTTGTACAGATAAATAAATAAATGTCAAAGTGGGAAGTGGGGGCTTCTGTTCCCAGCGGGGGGGAGAGGGGGGTACTGTTTAAACCATCACCTTAGTGAGCAGGCAGCACAAGGGGACCTCAAAAAATTGGAGCGAAGATAAGAAGAAAAGATACAATCTTTATATATATATATATTTTAACCGTTTCTCACGTAAACTGCAAACTGACGTTTTCGTCAGATTCTCAAGTTTTCAATGGTACCCGAACGCACCTCGTGTCACAGAGGCAACTTCGTCATGACAACATGATAATCTGTGTACACCTGGTAGGCCTAAGCCACTGAACATTAATAATGTTTGTATGCTAAAGAAATGTCATAGTTATTGAATATTGAAGGAGCGTAAGAAAATACATTCCAATAGTTGTATCTATAAGAAATACTTAAAGAAACATCAACTATTGGAATGTGGGTTTGCAAAGGGGTACCCGGCCAGTAGTGAATGAATGCTAAATGCTTACATTTGCATCCTCTTCTCAAACATCCCTCGACTATAAGAAACGAGTAATGAGTGACGATCCTCACTGGTGTTGTGCAACTCTTTTGTGCAATCTTCACAACTTGCATTAAAATTCAAGCCTCTCATCCCTCCCTTTCAGAGAATAAGTAGGATTAAGTCGAACGCCGTGAAGAAAAATTGCACAGAAATTACAAAAAAATTGCAATCAGAATACATCGGGTCTTAAGATAGTAGGAGAAAACAAGACACAGGTGAGTAAATTAAGGGAAGGAGACGCAAAGGAAATAGGGAAGGAAGTGTATGATCTGTGAAGAAAGAAAGAGAATAACTAAGAAGTCTGGCGGGGCTTTCTTAAGTAGCCCTTGGTGGTGCAACTGTTACTTTGTAAATAGACATGAACTACATACACCGGATAAAACGAAATAAACTGTATGTGGCATATTGAAGAGAGGAAGCAGCAAGGCATGAGATGCATCAACTAAACCAGGGGTTTCAAATATGCGGCCCGTGGGCCGAAAACGGCCACTGAACACTTCATGTTCAGGATATAAGTAAAATTAGATTTCATCAAATATGAAGATTGGCTAATATACTTCTACTTCTTTGCATGAAACCAAAGGAGAAAAACATGGACTTATTGTTATTTATAAGTCATTATTTAATTATTGTACTGGTTTGACTCATATGACATCTAATTAGGTCGTATGCGACCCCCGAGCCAAAATGAAATTGAAAGCCCTTGGACTAAACTTAAGTCAGGGGTGTCAAACTTAATCATGCTAGGGGCCTAAAATTAAAACGCAACGTCTAAGATGTGTGCCAAACAGGGTTAACATTTATTGAACAATCACTTAGCAGTACTTTGTGGAAGATTTTTGTTTTTCGGCAAATGTACGCTTGATTAGATTCGGAATCGTATCTCGTGCGCTTAATCGTCTGAAAACTGTTCTTCGGGAATATTTGCCTTTTTACAATTAGTGCCACGTGATTACAGTTGCCAGCCATCTCTTGAAAAACGGGATCTTCCCAACAAAAATATATGTGTCCCGATGAGCTGAAAAAGACGCAAGTTGTCCGGTTTTACTGACACCAAAATTAATTGTCAATGGAATTAATTCATAACAGGGCACTTTACATAAATACTTACGCATCCTGTATAAAGCTGAGAAGGTAGATTGCCAACCCATCCATCCATCCATCCACTTATTCGTTACCGGGTCGCGGGGGCAGCAGTCGCCACCCAAATCACACTGCACCATACCTTCCTCCGGGTAGTGAGCCCACTGGAAGGTGCCAACCGCCCTAACCGGGATTTGAACTTGCCCAGGAGGTGAACCCTGGAGTTCCACACCAATGACAGAGACATTGCCTCTGGGCCAAAGCACCACTAAATTGCCAACATACAACTTAAAATAATAGTTTAGTTAGCTTCTTTTTTGTCTTTTTTTTAAATAACAATCAGTGATGTCACATCACTGGTTCAAGTCCCCTGTACCTAAGTCAGCCTGAGCCTGTGTCCCAACTTTTTACAGTAACTTCTGGTTGGTTTTACTGTAATGCAAAAATGTGCTGACAGCTGCTTAGAGGTCATGTGCTATATCAACTGTGTGATATGCAGTAAAGCAATAAGTAAGTGATAAATATATGACCTTGTATACAAGTAGTCAACCAAATTATGCAAGTCTATGCAAGGTAACTAGGTATATCTATGGATACGTTCTGTTGCTGTCTTTGCAAATGTAATTAGTTGATAGACTGAATGTATTTCTCTTCCCGCAGCAGTAAGTCACAGTTAAAGCCGCAGAGTGCATGTGTGAACACACACACACATAGCAATCACTCTCCAGCACCTAAGTCCATATAGAAGATGAACACCTTTTAGTTGTTAAATACCCGTGACCTGCTGGTCAACTGCTGCTTCATCTGCTAAAAGTGTGACATCATTTTCCACCAATAAAAGTCAATTTCATCTGAAGAAGTTTTCACTATGTGATGCTGCCAGTGGAGTTCTACCGAAGAGGACTTAGAACAGCAAGTGTGCAAAAAAGTTTTTTTTTTAACACTTAACATTAGATCCATTTAGTTCAATCAACCACGATTAATAGACACAGTTGAGTAAATGTAGTGGATTCACTGCTTATGTAGGCATCAGATGAAGATCACACAAACTGTATCACAATATAGGGGACGGTAGGCCGGCAGGTCGACCCCTATTGGCTGACCTGGGAAGAAGTATAAGGACTGCGAGCAGGCCTGCGAAGCGTACTCTATGACAGTGAAGCCATGTGTATGCGTTTTGTGAATAATAAGGCCTTGACCTGTCCTTCAAAATTTTTTTTTTAAATTTTACTTAGCCAGTCTTAGATAGATTGCGACAATGAGGAATTAAAATAAAATAAATATGAATATAATTATGTGTAGTAGTGATTAGTGTATATACTGTAAGAACTAAACCATATTGTGCCATAAAGCTACGTGAATTCATCAATGACCCAACACATAAGTTATACATAAGTTATGTTCAGTTCATATGATTAAATATATAAATGTAATGATTTCAATGTAAGTAGATCACTTTAACCTGGTCATTTCAATATTAGCTATAGAAGTGTGAACACCCCTGGACTAGATAGACTCTTTAGGACAGGACTGTAAAACTCCTTTTCACAATGGGCCAACATTAAAAACTGGGCCAAACTCAATATTTATTAAAAAATTGACTGGAATTGTGCATGTTTTCCGTTCTCTCCAGATGTGTAATGTTGAATTGTTTCATATAGAAACAAACGTTGGTAAACATCAAATCTTGAACAACCAAAGATATATATATATATATATATATATATATTTACAGGCCAACAAAATAACAACCAAAACTGTATGTGCTACAATATTGTGCATACATCACTAATACTACAAATCCCCCCAGTATATATTGGCTATATAACGGCGGGCCGGCTCTAATACACATTTGATATGATCTCGCGGGCCAAATATAATTACACCAGGGGCCAGATCTGGTCCGCTGGCCTGAGTTTGACACCTGTGCTTTAGGACAAGATTTCCTCAGTCTTCTCCATCCATCCATCCATTTTCATCCGCTTATCCGTTACCGGGTCGCGGGGACAGCAGTCGCCACCCAAATCACATTGCACCATACCACCCCCCCAAACCTTCCTGCGGGTGGTGAGTCCACTGGAAGGTATTAACCGCCCTAACCGGGATTCGAACTTGTCCAGGAGGTGAACCCTGAGGTTCCACACCAATGACAGAGACATTGCCTCTGGGCCAAAGCGCCACTCCTCAGTCTTCTGCTTAGGTTAATTTGTTTGATTAATAATTGATTGACTTTTGTAAAATATACTTTTTTTGTCTCCTACAAATGTAAGATCATTTTTTTCAACTCTTTGTCTGTACTTGCTGACTCCTCCCCACACAGTCTGTTATTCTTAGTTCTCTGCCACTTCCCCCGTCCGATTTGTCATGAAATGACTTGAACCTCAACATAACTCAGAAAAGCTCCGACCATCTGAGTCACACGTTAACCAGAGGCTCTTCTGTTGTCTGAGAGGTAAGTCATCACAACTCATTCCTCATTTGTGTACTTCTTTCCCCCATCTACTTCTTTGGTTAGCGTATTTCTGCAGACTATCGTGCAAAATCGTTTTGCTCCTATTTCCCATTGTACCTCTACGTGTGTCTTTCAGAGTTCACCGCCTAACATGGAAAATACAACACCTTATTACGACGACGCCGATGGCCCTTTCGTCACACCGTGTTCCAGGTACAGCGATAACAATGTGGGAGCCAAATTATCCATCCTTTATTACTTTATGTTCCTCATCAGTCTTTTTGGAAATGGACTGGTCCTGATCATCATTTACCGGTGAGTAGTAACAGAGTCTGAAGCTCGAATAAAACCTACATGATGTTGCATAAAGAAAAAAAACTTTTTTTTTTTTTTTCCATTATACTGTTATCACCTTGGAAATTTAAATGCGCTAAACATGAGCACTTTTTTAATTTTTACTGCGGGTCACTACAATTGCTGTGTGATTTGCAATTAAACCTTTAGCATGGATTGGGGGTTATTGTATAATTTCTATTTTATTGTGGGCATAAACCACAATCATAATCCTCACAATTTCACCTCTGTCAGTTTGGCAGCATCGGCTGTTATCTAAAGTGAGTTAAATCAGTAACCAAAATGTTTGATGGGCAGTGTCACTAAATTGGCTTACTAAATTTAAACAACAATGACTTCTTTTATGTGAAACACATAAACACGTGGCGTTTCACTTCAAAGTCAGAAACATAAAAAAAAAAAAAACAGAACCTTCTAATTCTTTGGAACTGTGTGTTTATGAAACATACCTAAAGGGTTTTTTAATGAGATTAAAGATGAAGATGGGTCTTCACATTAACCCAAGCCAGAGATAGCAAATACTGTAGTATAAAAAGTTAATTAATTCTTCTTCTTATTATTCTTCATTCTTAATTTTTTAAAAGTTTTTAAAGGTCAAAGAACATCTTTGTTAGTGTGACCCAGGCTGCATTAGAAAATCAATATTGTGTTATTTTATGTACGTACATTTTGTCAAACATGTAAATATAAATACAGATATATATATATATATATATATATATATATATATATATATTTCCATTAACGATTAAAATGTTTTAAATGCGATTAGTCCCTGACCCTTTCGGTTAAACGGTCTTAACACAAAATAAGTTCACTTCCGAGAATTACTGTGCAGGAGACTAGCCTGTGAAGTCAATGTTTATACTGGATTTCACCGGTGTTTACACCTGCAGTCAGTTAGCGCTCTGCAACGCTGTAACGCTATTTTGGTATTGCAGAAACAATAATTTTCACTTCGGGGAAAAACACAGTACTATCCTAGCCTATTTCCAAAACAAACAGCTAATGCTACTTATGGCTTTAATCGGTTAACAAAGTAGGCACTTTGCTTCACCATTTTGCTTGTCAGAGGTCCATCTCAGAGGACCGTAGTTGCATAGTAATGGTTGCTAGGATGTATGATTGGACAATGACCGTTTGGCGGCGGGGTTTTGTGAAAGGTTGGCGCTCTTCTTTTCCAGTTCCTGTGATCGCCACAGCAGTAATAATAACGTGTTAAGTTTAACCTCCCAGTTAGTTTGAATTTAACAGATCCACTCAAACGGTGTGTCTGTCATGGTATAATCCGATTCAACATGGCGACCCTTGGTGGAAAAACTGACTGCAGGCCTGTTAGCTCTATCTCGGTTTCACTCTCGTTGTTAGGCTATCATTAAGGTAGCTACAAAAGAAGAAGTTCAGTGTTATGTCTCTTGGGACCACAAGATTTAATTCAATAATGTTAATGACGCAAATGGTTTAAAGTTACTGCGAAACGATTAAAAAACAATTATGCCAATACACCAGTCAATAAAAGAAATGTAATAAATATCTTTCGAATCCTCTACTAAAGAATACAATTAGTTCGGAGAATTAACATTTAAATGTCAATGCAGCAGTGTATCCTGACTTTATAAGAAGGTAAATGTAATGAGGTAACTTCTGCAAGTTTGGTTTCTAAATGGCATACTTTGTTCACAAATAAATATATATTCAGGAATTTAAAAAAAAAATCACATATCTCATAGATGGGCAGAGATTTGCTCAGAAGGTATAGTCAGGGCAGAAGGCACATTTAAACTATAAATATAACTATCAAATGCTTTGATAAAATGGTGCAGGGAGCCGGTAAATTAAAGCAAAGTGTAAATTACAATAATTGGATTGTGCAGTTTCTGTTCGTGAAACAATTGGATGGACACTATATCAAAGATTCACACAGCATAGTGCAGAACACGAAAGGACAGGACCTTTTCAAATGGCCTCACTCTCTGACATTTGGCAGGGCAGTGAGGACAGAATACGAGAGGTATGAGAGAAAAGTGGTTCTATGACAGGCCTCTGTTCTAGGCCATTTGAGGCTCCGCTGGTTTTGTGCGGATGTGTCATCATGTTGGCAGAGAGAAAGAAACCACCGGGAAGGATAACATCAGGTCACTGTCCTCGCTATTCCAAAAAAAAAAAAAAAAAAGGGAGTAACAGCGTGTAAAAAATCCCCATCTTTTTGCAACCTTAAGACCCGGCTGTAGATTCCGCACCTTTTCATCAGCGGCGGTCCGCATTACGGAAATGCTGTCACCTGCACTCACTGATCCCTGATCCCTGGACCTTGACATTGCGGTCCATGTCGGTTGAAAAGATAGTTTCCACCTCAGTTGGTGGTGCAATATTGTTTGGATCCAAGATGGCAACGAAGGAGGCGATAAACGCTACATATCACAGGCTGTGGAGACGTAGTTAGTGAAATGGTAAATAAGATGGGGGAGTGGGGGGGGGGGTTCTTCGACTTGGAATTCCATTCCTAAAGCGCAACATAACGTGATTATATATATGTATTTACAATATTTCTTCTCCTTTGGGGTGGTTGGGTCCCACCGCAAAATGGGACAAATCACGAATTAGAGGCAAGATAGTTATATTATTTACGTATATATATTTACCCTTTACGAACCTCCACACGGAAATCAAACCTCCCTTAACTGTATCACTTTCAATGAGAGATCGGTTGACAGACAAGGGGAGATGCTGAGAGATGCTACGATGCATGCGCTAATCAGCGTGAGGAACAGAATATCATGCTCAATTAGCCAATAGTACACCGAGTACGCATTGTATTAGCCAATAGTATACTGTGTACGAGCTCATCTCAGGTAAACGAAGCTTCCAGCGATCGTTCGCAAACGCGAAATTAGAAATAGAACAGTTTCGTTGGACCTTGGTTTCGAAATGAACAATCAGTGTTTGGCAGCAACAAAAGGGTTGAAGCTTGCTGTTCCAACCTTAAGATGAAGAACAAGGGTAAGAACAGACCTTCAAGTGCGACATGCAAGTGAAACATTTTACACCCATTGTTTCAATTCACAAGACAACTGAGGTTCCCGTGCACTTTTCAGCCGCTCAATAAAAACAATTCAAGCGTATTTTCGGCTTTGCAGGGAAATCTTTGAACACGGCGACTTACTGTTAAATCAAAATGCTGAGATAAGGTACAGCAAATTCTCCACAATTCCACACCGTGGAATAAACATTTCCATGTAGCGTGGAATCAAAGGAAATAAGCACGTCCCCCCCCAAAAACTGCCAGACTGCAGCTATAAAAGACCTTAATCATAGTTCACTGTGCTTCGGCATAATGCATTAGGCCGTGTGCGAATCTGTTGCTGATGCAATCAAAGCATCATTCTGCTTTAAAAACATATAACTGTGTAAGTGTTGCAAATTTGTAGAGGACACATAATTTGACAGAAAAAAAAAAGAGTCTTTGAACCAATGTTTCCTACAAACAGCCTCCAGGGAAATGTATATCTTTTTGACATGGATGCTCTGAAATCCCATTATTTCTTTTAAGCTGGTTGTAAGTTTTTTTTTTTATATATATATTATTTTCCAGACCAGTGAACGCATGTTACAGCAAGTGCTATAAAGAACTTGGACAGATACTGCGACTGTTATACGTGACAGTTAGTCGTCAGACTACACAGCTTTTAAGTCCTGTGTAATTGGAAAGTGTTTATATGATCTGCTGTTAAAGTTTATGCTACTATATACACTCAACTTTTCAGAGATAAAAAAAACCAAACTTTTAACTGATGCAACCGTACGAATGCGTGAGACACAGCAGTAAATTATTAGCATTGCACTATGGAGGTTGAGCAAGAATTAAAAGGGACATTGGACTGTGTGGACCGGAGGTCCTCTACCACTGGGACCCAGCCTGCTACTGGGCTTCGGGTCATTTGGTTCTTGGCCACACAGAAGGAGTTCATTAATTTTATTAATTATCACTGGCAAAGATGTTTTATTTTGAAAAATGACCAGATCATCTTCTAATTAGATGTGCTGCTCTACACATGTCGAGATTGCTCAATAGACACTTGACCAAAAAAAGAAAACTCATGTACTGGCATTAGTGGGCCGTCACGTGCTTTATATTTGTGTTTATGTCGTGAGTATTATTTTATTTCCTCATGCGTAAAAATCTTTTTTTTTAATACATCGGGTTCTCCATCCATCCATCCATCCATTTTCAGCCGCTTATCCGTTACCGGGTCGTGAGGGCAGCAGTCGCCACCCAAATCACATTGCACCGTACCAACCCCCCTAAACCTTCCTGCAGGTGGTGAGTCCACTGGAAGGTACCAACCGCCCTAACCGGGATTTGAACTTGCCCAGGAGGTGAACCCTGGGGTACATCGGGTTCTTCCGTATATAATGACACCCAAACCGTGTGTCGGGGCTGTGCACGTTCTCCTAAAGAAACGAGTGTGCGACACATTTCTCTCCTACGACATAGCTAAAAATAAATGTAACCTGCACATAAAGTACATGTACCTCTACTGCAAAAGTACTTCTTTTTAAACGTAATGGGTTAATGAATAACTGTGAGTTTGCTTTGCTACAGAAAAGTGGTTCCATAATGTAGCGGTTGGGGAGTCCTGGGTTCGATTCCCAGAGGAACCTACGTACCCCTAATGGCACCTCCTGTGCATTGCAACCATGTACTTAATGGCTTTTCCTGTGCCAGTTGCAAAGACTCACACTGTATTTTCCCATTGTCGTATGTCGTATGGATAAGGTACTCAATAATAATAGTAATAATAATAATACTAGAGGGATTAAAAATAGTCTTCCAGATAACTGAGCTAAAAAATAAAAATCCAAATGACCTAGCCTAGCTTAAGTATTAAACTAGCATCAAACATGCTAAAAAGTTGGACTTCACTCACACAATTTTTTTTTTTTTTTGGTTTTGTTTTTCTCAATGATCACTTCTTAGGTTTGAAAGGCTGACCACAGTGACCAATATCCTGCTGCTCAACCTGGTCTTCTCTTCGATAATCTTCATGAGCAGCCTTCCCTTCCTGGCCGTCCAGAACCAGCTCTCCGAATGGATTTTTGGCAAAGTTATGTGCAGGATAGTGGGCAGCAGCTACTACCTGGGCCTCTACAGTTCCGTCCTCTTTCTCACCATTCTGACCATAGATCGACACATAGCCGTTGTCTACTCCTTGGACGCGTCGAGACTGAGGGGCCGACGCTATGCAATGATCTCCTGCGCTGTGGTGTGGATAATCAGCAGCTTGGCCTGCATCTGTCCCATGATTACCCATATTCTATATAAGTATAATACCCAGGGAGTAATTCTCTGTGGTGATTATCCAGGTACTTTAGATTATATTGATCATTCTCGTCTAAAAGTGTCTCACTTTTACATGCAGCTTTTCCTTTTCTTGATTATCCCTCTGGTGGTTATCATTTACTGCTACATAAGAATAGCAATAACTGTTTTGATGTCCAGGATTGCCACCAAGTTTAAGACTGTCAGGTTAATATTCATCATTGTCGTGTGGTTTTTTGTGTCCTGGACCCCTTTCAACATTGTGACACTGTTAAAACAAGAAGACAACTGCTTGGCATCGCAGAGAAGAGGTTACGCACTTCACATCACTCGCAACATTACCTACATTTACTTTTGCTTCAGCCCCATCTTCTACACATTTGTGGGCAGAAAGTTTCAGAACCACTTCAGGCTGATGCTGGTGAAGCGTTTCCCAGTATTAAAGCGATACATCAGTGTCACTCCGAACAGCAATACCAGTATGTCAACAAAATGTTCGCCGAGTGACTAGTAGAACAAACACAAGCGTCTGCTTGTCCGTTTCATAAACAGCCATGAGTAATATTTAATCAGAAAGTCTGTCAGACGATATACAAGGAAAAGGAAGGGTTTGATGGGTTGAAAAAATATTTAAAAAAAAATAGAGAAAAAAGAAAAGACTTCCGGGCATCTTCAAGCCCATTGACAAGTCGTTAAAGCTGAATTTGATCTGTTTTTTTTTTTCGAACTAGCAACTGATTTTTCTCAGGGATTCTCCTCAGAGCGGTGGAGCATATGTAGAGAAGTAGCTTTGTTATTTTCAGAAATTATCTTTTGATTTTTACAGAGCTTGTTTGACCAAACAAATGTTCCAGTTAAAGGTGATATATTAGCCATTGCTAAAGAGTGATTCACAAGCAATTAATTTACAATACAGACTTTTTTTGGGCTAAAACCTTTTGCTGTCTACCTATGAAGTGCCTGTAATGTCGTTGCTAATATTAGCGCTAGTGTTCATGCTCATCGCATTATATTTTCTTTGAGGTGATACCATAGGCTCAAAACGATGTAGTGATCAGTAAATGTCTTTGTTGCCTTCTTCGTATTCAAGCTGCCTTCAAGAATTAAAAAAATAAATACATAACTTTTAAGGATAATGTAAATATTCTATACTCTCTACACTTTCATGCTTAAGGGATGGTCAATAAAACTAAATTAAAAACTCTGTTATTAAAATATCCAGGAAGAAGCTCTTCTGTGTCATCTTTGGCATCTCCATCCTGTCACTGAAATATGGACCGACTAAGTTTATGATATGGTTGTTATGATCACCCAGAGGGAATGCTGTCCTTGAGTGTGTGCTTTCACGGATCGTCAAGCCCCGCACAGGGAAAGTGTTAATATATCATCGAAACAAAAGTTTGTTCAGTGATTTATTTTCTTTGTTTAAATGCTTATAACTATCGCTGAATCTTTTTAAACAGCGTGATTCAAACAGAAGCACTTCGTACAATTACACCCTATAAAGACTGGCACATCAAAAATATTTTTGGAACTGAGATGTTTAAGAAACATAATATCAAAATAATAAAAAAAGAAGTATATCATTCGATATGTTGGGCACAACAATGTTCTTTTTAGATGTAAAAATTAATTTTGCCAATAACATTTTAAAAACTTTTTTTTTCTGAATCTTGTGTAGGAAATATGATATATTTTTTCTGTCTTATTTCATATGTTAAAAAGATGTATAATTGTATTCCTATCACGGATAGTGACAGAAATTGACTTTTTATGCACTGTTTTTAATATTTAATTAATTAATAAAAGTAGTGTCAAACTCCTGGATCTTGAGTCACTTCATGACTAGATGAAAATAGAAATGTTTCCCTTCAGGTTAATTAAAAATATATATATACTTTCAAAGTTTTTTTTCAATTATAAAAATGCTTCAGGGGTGTCAAACTCATTTTGGTTCCAGGGCTGCATACAATCATAACATAATTACATGTAAATTACAAAAAAGTCTGTCTTTTTCCCCTTTGTTTTCATACGGAAAAAAGGACAAAGGATAGTTTTCCGATGATGTCCCGCTACTACCCATAGTTCCGTAGTCCGCCATCTTGTGGGGCTAACAGAGCGTATAGATAGGTATTAAATACACAAAAGAACACTGATATTGGTAAATACCTGTGTTGTGTGGGGTTATACCAATCGATCTGGGAATGGAGATCGCAAGATGAAGTCATTTTGACATTTTGCGATCTGTCACCGAGGGAACTGACGGAGGGATGCTATGGCTTTCACGTATTAACCGTGCTAATTTCAATCCAGATCCAAGCAAAAGGCATTACAAAGTCTGTTCTGAACACTTTATTTCGGGTAATTACATTATACTTTTATTTAATTCATATGTTCAATATCAATAAAATTAGAATTTATCAAAATGTACTTTGCATATATGACAAATGTACACAATGCAAAGGTAAATCCTCGGCTGACCACAGTCCATATCATTATGAGTATTTTCTATGTACATGTACAATCAAACTATTTTTATTTAAATGAAGAAAGTAAAAAATACAGATTTCTATGTGATTTTGGAAAAAAAGTATAGTCTAATCAACAGTAAAACATGATTTTTCATGTAAACTTTCATGTAAAGATTTCTACATTAGCACGCTGTATTGTTTGGGGGTCTAATAAATACCGTTTGATATACATTGTCTGGCCAACTTTCAATGTCGGCCCGCTTCCACTCTGCTTTGTTGACTTCGTATGGGTCTATCCATTGATTATTTTCAACTTGTCCAAGTATCTTGCCTTTGTAATTGTCCATCCATCCATCTATTTTCATCCGCTTATCTCTTACCGGGTCGCGGGGGTAGCAGTCGCCACAGAAAAAACATTGCACCGTACCAACCTCCCTAAACCTTCCTGCGGGTGGTGAGTCCACTGGAAGGTACCAACCGCCCTAACCGGGATTCCAACCTGCCCAGGAGGTGAACACTGGGGTTCCACACCAATGACAGAGACATTGCCTCTGGGACAAAGCACCCCACCCTTTGTAATTGTGTCTAGTGAATCTCTATACAACAATTTCGTCTGATCTCCCTCTGGCGATACTTGTTCGCGTCATTTGCCACAAAACATGGCTGATGGCGCGACGCATCATGGGTAATAACGATTATCGGAAAACTATCAATTAGATGAATCTACATATATCATGAAATATTATTTTACAAAAACATTTCCTGTACATGAAGTGTTTGTTTATTTAAAAAAAAATTCTTTAAGCGGGCCGGATTGAAACCGCAAGCGGGCCAGTTTTGGCCCACGGGCTGTATGTTTGATGCCCCTGCTTGTTAGTTGTTTTAAGTATGATGTTGTTTTCAAGAATGAGTAAAATGTACTTGTTGTTTGCAGAGCAATATAATATACTCTAAGTATATATATTACATTATAGAATGTATTCATATTAGACTTGGAATAAAACTTTTATTATTGAATATTGAACTCTTCCGGGCGGTTGCAACAGTGGCCCCCAGCTCATTTGAGTTTGAGACCCCCGATTGATATAGGATTACCTTGAATTATTGATTAACAGTGGGTCAATCGACCTTCACTTGCTAGGTAACCTTTTTCAACCAGTGATTTTATAGGCCACTAGAGAAAAAGAAAAAGAAAGAAACAATATGTCAGGACTAAATAGAAGCCTCAGCAGAATGTCATGATGAGATAAGAAGTGTTTTCATACACAGACGATGCGTCATTGCCTGGTATTTCTGAGCTGAAGTTAATAACCATAAAAATGTGGCAAATGGGAGGAAAGAGGAATTAGGTAGTTATGAAATGACATCTCTGTAGAAATGGAGGGGAGTGCCTTTGACTCAACACAGCTGTGACAGAAGAACACTCACATAGTTTTGTTGGTTTGACATTTCACAAAACAGGCAAAAATGACACTGGGAAACAACAGCTGTTACTGTGTATATTGAATATTTACCATTTCAATGTTTATGTTAAGTGACCCTTGGCTGTCAGTGGACTCTGGAAACTTGAAAAAAATGAAACACTCTATAAAATGATGTTCACAAATTGCTACATTTCAACCTAAACATGTTGGTTTCATTACCACCAAACAGGCCCGAAATCTGTTACCCAACTGAAAGGTTTTAGGGTAGGAGTTAAACTTAGTATGAATAAACCTATTGAGTAGCGTTGTTTAAAGTTGCTAAAGTGGGGAGGGTGAGTTGTGAAACACAGTAGGAACGGGATATTTTACACAATAAAAATGTCGGTAAAAATGTTCGATGACCATCCAGCCTTTGAAAAAGATGTTTATGTTGTCCTTGAGTCGATTGAGTCGATTGAGTCAATATATATATATATATATATATAAAGCTTTATATATATAAAGCTATTTTCTGGACTATAAGTTGCACTTTTTTCATCCTTTGACGACTTATACTATATAAGCGCGACATATATTACAACATAATTTTGTTCATTATTTTCACACTGACAGCCATTAGAGGGCACTCTAGGCTTGTGTACCACTATCTGCTACTCCTGTACCACTGAAAATTTACATTTTTGCTATTTTCACGTTGGGAAAGTTACAAATCATGCTGCTGTAACGTTATCTGACGTCAGTGTTGTTGACACATTATTTACTGTGTACTGCCAATTAGACACATCAGCAGCTGGGTGTGACTTATGTAAAAGGCTTTGCCGCTCCTGCCGTATGGGAAACTTTAGATGTTGGATGAAACGTTGCTCTTCAGCCAGTTCTCATTTTGAAGTCGTAAAGATTGTGGTCCAGGATTAATTTTGACAGCAACAATCTAAGGCTTCACGAACAGAAATATCATTGCTGTCTACTCAGAAGTTAATCCGAACGCTGAGTAGCGCTTTGGCGAACAAGTGGGTGAATTTAGCTTTCAATTACCCACTGCTGAGTGGCAGAGAGAACAGGAAAGTGCTCGACGTGGCCATGCTAAGCGAGCAGAAGGGACACTGACTGATTCTGTTCAAACGGCACCTGACAACTAGATTTGTACTGAGAGTGCGCCGGCGGCAGAGCGCTGCCAGCTCCACTAA